CTGGCTTCTGTTTTTTAATCCATCCTGCAACTCTGTTGTCTTTTTACTAATGAGTTTAAGCTATTTACATTTAGAGATAATATTGATATACTCGCACCTACATTTGCCATTATGGTCCTTCTGTATTTTTATTCCTTGTTTTGAACTGCTGTTGTTCATTCTTCTGTTGAATTTGGTTTGAGGGCTTCTTGTTGTATTTTTTGGAGAGGGGGTTTAGTCATGACAAAATTGTGGAGTTTCTGTTTGTCTGAGAATGTCCTTATTCTTTCTTCATAGAGGAAGGAGAGCTTCGCAGGATAGAGTATTCTTGGTTGGCATTTAATGCTTTGGAGTTTGTTGAGTATGTTCCTCCACTCTCTTCTTACCCATAGTGTTTCTCTGGAGAAGTCTGATGTCATCTGGATCAGTTTCCCTTTATAGGTTATTTGTTTCTTCCCTCTTGTCATTCTCATTATCTTTTCCTTGTCTTATATTCTTGGAAGCTTTATTATAATGTGTCTTGCTGTTTTTCTCCTCTCATCATGGTAGTTTGGGGTTCTTCTTGCTTCTTGGGTATCTATTTTCATCTCCTTCTTCATATTAGGGAAGTTCTCTTCTATTATCTCTGTGAATATTTTCTCTATTCCTTGGCCTTCTTCACCTTCTAGGATACCTATAACTCTGATGTTTCCTTTCCTAACACACCACCATTATTTTTTAAAGCATGAATATATTTTCACCTTCCTACTCATTATCTAAGATTCCCTGGAAGTACATAGGAAATAAAATGCATAAGTTTTATAGGAACACCTATATAGTTGACCCGTAGTTGAAAGCCTACCTCAAAACTACCAGCAATCTGGGTAGAATCTACTTCTCTCCAAAGGTAATCTTCATTTGAATTTATATATACAGTCAAAGGGTATCAAAAGATATTTTTTTTCCTGTTGGTATGATTGCAATGAAGAATCTCTTGGTTGGTTGTTCTGCTCCTGTTTTATCAGAAAACTGAACTATTTTTCTTACAAAAGGGACCCCACCATAGGAAATAATTCCAATATTAAGAAAGTAAGTATTACAGAAACTCAGCCATGAAGCTGTTACAGCAGAACATTTGTGGGTGGATATTCACAGTGAAACCTTTTTTAGCCATTTCATTCTATTTTCCCCTGGTTCGGATATTCTTATAACATCTTCCAAGAGCTAATGCTACCTTGTAGCAATCACCTCAGGACAAAGCCAGCTATCTAGTGCACCTGTTAAAGAAAATTTCATTACAAAGTATATTGTTTATGATCTTAGGGCTATGGTCATGATTCAGAGGACATCTCTGCAGGTCACCTGATGTGAGGTGGTTGAACCAAGTGGCAACTTGAGGAGCCAAACACAGCTTGTTTTCATGTTCTCTGGTTTCAACTTGGCCTGGAGAGTCGTAAGCTACTTGACTACATAACTGTTAAATAAACAAACTGACCCCTATTTAGAATCAGGAAGAATCTTTCCATGCTCATAGGCAGGTGAGTCAAAAACAAAGATGTATTGTGGCAAGTTACAAGTACTAGAAGGAAGAACATTTCAGTTTCTGCACAAATAGACATATAAGTAGATTTTATATTTTATCAGAACCTTTCACTTTTAATTCTCAAAAATGCTTGGTAAAAACCAGTAACTACCTGAAATTAAAAGTCTTTCCATTTAATTTTCATTTTATAACTGGGTGAGGGATGCATGTTGTGGTGCAGCATGCTCTCCCTTTCACAAAAAGAACCTCCATTCAGACATAAAAGGGAAACAAACATTCTGCTTCCCCTATACGAACACTATAGTTGCTTCCAAATAGTAAAGTGATTTAATAGTTCCTGTATTCTCTCAGCACACTATCTCAATCTTACTGTGATTATTTCACATGGCTATGTGTACACACACAAAAATCCGTGGTTAGACTAAGAGTTTTCACAAGCCAGACAGTGTAACAGGCTCACTGTTAAATCTTTGTGGTAAAATCCTGGCATGTTGCCAACTAAATAATCTGTGACTTGGAGAATGTTACTGAACTTCATTTTCCCCATGGCAGCAAAAATTCCTACCTCATATAATTACTATAAAGATCAAATAACCTCCTGTTGGAAAGGGCCTGGCACAATGTATATAATTAATTAAAGTAAATTTTCTTCCTCTTTCTTAACTTCCTCTCTTTCCCTTCTGGAGCACAGAATTTCTTAATTCATATTTGAGCATCATAAGTTAGCTAGCAATAGAATATATACAGTATAATTCTCAGTAAATGCCAATTGAATATGTATTAAAATATGAATTAAGTAGTGTTTGTTTAAAATATAAAAGCAAAGGGTTCAGTTTTGAGACTGGAGAATGCAAACTCTAATTTTCCCTAATTCCCCCCCACACACACACACCAGTTTCACAGCTTTAAATATCTTGTATATACTAATGATTTTTACTTACCATAAACTTAACCTTCCCACTGTTGATGTCAATTTTATCTCTTTAACAACATTTCAATCATTCTTTCCTTACTTTCTCAACCCTCACCATCTTAATCCAGATTTATCATCTCCTTTCTGGAGCACTGCAATTACTTTCTAACTGGCCTCTTTGCTGCACTCTCATGGCACTCTTCCCTCATCCAAACCTCTTCTATTTACAGCAGCCAGAGTGATCTTTCTGAAACACTAATCACATTCATGCTTAAAATAAGTCCACGGCTTCCCAAAGCTCTGTTAATAACCTGTTACTCTAGATCCTCCTCCCCACCACCACTTTGTTTCCTTATCACTATCATTAACAGTATTTTCATACTCCTTTGTATTTCTGATTGTATTTACCTTCTCGGTGTAGGACCTGCCACTCTCCTGCGATCCAGGCCTTTCTGGAAGCATACAAGATGGTATAGCGAGTTACCACTGTCTCTGGGCTGTCAGGGGGTTTCCAGGAAACCAGAGCAGTGTCATCCTCTATCAGTGTCACTTTTACTCCAACTGGTGGGCCTGTTGGTGCTGTGCACAGATATAAAAAAACATTATTAGGACAAAATGTTCATAAATAAATACCTAGCTAATGGACTTCTGTAGTAACTTCTGAAAAACTAGAAATTACTACAGAAACACCTAAAAATACAGCTTTTGTAGATTACTATCATGAGCAAAATACTATTTTTCTTCTTTTTCTAAAAGCTATTTTAATTTCATAATATTTAAAACAACTATATCTATATTTATAGATAAGAGAGACTGGTAGGCCCTAGGTGGGGAATTACTAAGTAAAAGTGTCTGAGTACATTTAGGGCTCTTGATAGTCTTTTGCCAAGTTGGAAACTAGAAAGGCTTTCAGTTCCACCCACAGTACTTTCTTATTAGATACTGATGTCCTTCCCTCCCCTCTGTTAGCTACTGAATCTAAATTCTTACAAAAATGTAGGGAATGTATATTTCACCAGATCTAGGAAGCCAGTGAAGAATGGCCTTCCATTTTCAAAAAAGATGTCAGTCAGTCACTTTTGATTAATAACATCTATCTGCAAAAGTAATCCAGTCTTCAAATTTTACCTGACCTCATATTTAATAAGAGCTAAAAGTGTGAAGAGCTGTTTTCTGGAACCACACCATATATAGAACCACACTGTATTGCTCAAACTATAGCAAAGAAATCCTGTGCTCATTGAAGTAAATGCTCCTTGTCTTTGAGCATAATTAAAATAGAGCTGCAATAATCCTTCTAGATCACACAGTTCTTCACCCTTATGCTAGGAGGAAGTATCTTACAGCTTTATAGTGATACAGAATTTGTGCTCAGTCAGGTTATTAGATCCAATGCACTGTGTACAGCATCTAGCTACCACTCAAACAGAAATGCATTCTAATGTGGGCTCCCAATATCATTAATTATTATATCACTCACTCACTTCTATTTTAAGTTATTTAGATGCAGCTTTGACCAACACAGGTTACTGAAAAAAGATTCAGTGTCCCCTAAAGACACACTAAATTAAAGTCATTCGCTTGTATACTACATACACAAAAGGAAAAAATATATCTAATAAAGGAAAAGAGATTTAAGTGATGAAACAAAATACAAAAAATATGCACTATCTGGTAAGTACCAAAAGAGTAGTATCCTTTCCAAGGTGACATATGCTTTTTAAAAGACTTAGCAATAAAATCAACACACAAAAATCAGAGGCCTTCCTATACACAAACAACCAATCAGAAGAAACAGAAATAAAAAAAAAAATCCCCTTTTCAATTAAAACAAAAAGAATCAAATACCTGGGAGTCAACCTAACAAAAGAGGTAAAAGACCTATACAAAGAAAATTACAAAACACTGTTAAAAGAAATAAAAGAAGACACCATGAAATGGAAAGACATCCCCTGCTCATGGATCAGGAGAATTAACATCATCAAAATGCCTCCTACCAAAAGCAATGCACAGATTTAATGCCATCCCAATAAAAGTCTCAATGACATTCTTCAAAGAAATAGAAAAGTTATGAATGAGATTCATATGGAACAACAAAAAACCTCGAACAGCCAAAACTCTCATGACTAGGAAGAAAGAGAATGGAGGTATTACAATTCAACTTCAAGCTATACTACAAAGACATAATAATCAAAACTGCATGGTACTGGAACAAGAACAGACATATAGACAAGTGGATTCAGATAGAAAAACCAGATATAAACCCACAGGTCTATGGACAGTTAATCTTTGACAAAGGAACAAAGAAGATACAATGGAACTAAGAAAGTATGTTCAGCAAATGGTGCTGGGAAGCCACATGCAAAAAAATGAAACTAGATCACTACCTCTCACCACACATCAAAATCAACTTGAAGTGGATTAAAGACCTAGATAGAAGAACATAAACTGGAAGCAAAGATGGGCCAAGCACTACACAGCATACACTTCAGTGACATCTTTCAAGATAGAGCACCCAATACCACAATAGTAAAGGCAAGGATAAATACATAGGACTACATCAAGTTAAAGAGCTTCTGTACAGCAAAAGAGACATTACAAAAAACAAACAGACAGCCCACTGACTGGGAAAAAATTTTC